AGAGAGAGAAGAGAGAGAGAGAGAGAGAGCATGTTACAACAGAGGGAGAAAGGGAGGAACTGCACGATTTACAACAGTCTATAGGTTATAGAACTATTATCCAGGAGAATGAAGTCTATAATATTATTGATTTGAATGTATTTAGTATAAATAAATTTGAATGAGGCAAAATATAATCTCTATGCAAGTAGGCATCCAGTGAAGCATTAATACTATTCTTTTGGCTAGACACACTACTCTTTATAGCATGAAGTTCTAGCATTACCATCACAATGAAGCCTAGAGATAACCGGAACTATATATTAGTATATTTGCTTCACCCTAAAATAACTATTTAGAACATAGATAATATTGCAGCACTGCACTAATATTGCAGCACTGCACTAAAGAATTATGACAACATATATTGGTTGACATAAACCAAAAGCATTCACTTCTATAGAGTATGGAACCCTAGAGTCGTCACCATCTCCAATGGTCTATGCCTGATTTAGTAACCTCACCTGGTAAGGCATATTCAAGAATTCTTCCATCTTTTTTTCTTTTTTTCCCCATTAATGAATCAGTATAGTCCATAACTTTTACTAACTTTATTTGGGTTTCTGGGAGGTTAACAATATTCGGGCTTTTCAAAGTCATGCTATTCTTCTCTGAACAAGAGTTGTTTCTTAAAGAAGAAAGCATATTTATTTGATTTCTATATAGTTTAACTTGGATAAGTGTCTCATCATATGAAATAGGTTTTTCTCTGTGTCCACAAAAACTTGAAAGAAGCAGGCAGCACACTACACTCTCTCTACCATTTCACACAAAGAAGCTACTACTGCTTTTTGATCTGTCTAAGATTAAAGATCCATACTCTACTTTCCAAAGACCCTTATTTTTCCCTACCCCAAAACTGCATTTCTAAGGTCTTACCAATATTGATCAACGTAGAGCAGCTTTGTTTTAATTAAACTTTGAACGAGCATAAAACTAGGCCATATACTCACAAAATATCGTAGATGTGGGAAAAAAACCACCAGAAAGGCTACAGAGAGAGAGAGAGTTGAAGCAATTCTCAAGAGGAAAACAATATAAAAACAAATTATAAGAAAACACATGTTTCGAGTAATAATTCTACACAAAATATCCCTCTGATATGAAACACAAACAACAAAAGACAAAGTACAAAGACAAAATATGTTGTGCACCACAACTGACAATTCTATACACAAACTTACACTCGTTGTAACAAGAAGAATCTGTTAAGATGAAACATATCTTCAAAATTAAATTAGAAGGAAATGTTCCTTCAAGCTTAGACTCCTCTATTGCAAATATTAAACCCAGTCCCTTCTCAAACCCCATTCAATCATAAGAAGATCTTTCAATTTTATATTAAAAATCCAGAACCTTAGTACATGAAAATGCTTCTCAGTCTCTAAAATAAACCCAAATATCAAAACAACACTAAATTCCGAACCATTTATTCCGAAAATTCCTAAATACATTACCCTCATAAACCCGTAAGTTCATCAAGTGCGAAGCTTGGATAAGCCACATACAACCACAGTCATCACAAAGTCAAATAAAACCCAATAGTTTGCCCAAAGATAACAATAAGCACACGTTTCAGTCTAGAAGCTCCAAGGCACCATCAATCATGAGAAAACCCTAACATACGTAAAACCAAAAGACACCATGGATCGTCAAAAGCATATCAGAATGAACAGAGCGAGAGAGAGAACAAACCTCAGATATATATAGAGAGAGGAGGGAGGTCAATTAAAATCGCGAAGAGAGCATTCGAGTAGGGATAAAATGGCGGAAGAAACCATCAACACTTCACACGGTACACAGGACAGTATGTTCTGCGACTCGTCGACCGAACATGGAAGAATTTTGACCTTGTGGCAAAGGTAAATGGTCTTTCATTGTATAGAATCCCTTCGTATAAAACTGTATACCTTTCCTTCTATTACATGGCATATACATATAAAACTGTATACCTTTCCTTGTATTACATGGCATATACAGTAGTCCAAACTCCAAACCATGCGAACTGCACATACACTTGAAAATGACCATAAAATATAAGTGACAAACACATGTATGTGTGGTTTCAAAGATATTAATTTAAGGGTGGAGTTGGCATACGAACGCCTGCCGTTCAAATTTTATCATGGTATATACTTTGGATGTAAAATGGTATTAGGATTGTCTCAAAATCTATTTTTATATTTAATTATAAAATTTTAAATTTTAAAAATAGTTAAAATCAAGTAGATCTATAAACATATAAAAATCTTGAAAATAGATGGTGTAGATAATATAATGTAAAATGCACTATTTATGAGACTTCAAATCTTTTTATTTTTCATAGTCATACATCTCAATGTCGAGCGGATCAATCAAATGGCTTTTCAATATTAAAACTACCTTTTCTAATGGATTTTTGAAGGGCATCCGTAGTTCTACATTATAAGGTAGCATTCTTAGACAAACTTTTTTCTTAATTTATTTGGAGTTTGTATTGCGAATTCAAATTCTATGCAGAAGTGTAAAACATAGGCAAATCGCCTGTCCGTTTCCAATGAAGGAGAACATAGATAAACCATAAGCAATCTAATGCTTGTCATTGTGATTTACCTCTTGAGTCTATCATCAATAATAGATCATGGATGCCGTTGTAGTGCATAATATACCAAAAAGTGTCATTTGTATGATTTACTTCACCTCAATAGAAACTATTATATATGGGAAAATAAAAAATGAAAAGCATAGTCTTCAAAGAAGCACCTAAAGCAGAGTCTTCAAAGAAGCACCTAATTTCAATAAGGCATTCCAGGTAGACTGTGACGCATTTCATATGGGAACTGGAGCTGTGTTGAGTCAAGAGAATAGATTCATTGGATTTTTCAGTGAGAAATTCAATGACACGAAGTGACAATATTCATCTTATGACATTAAGTTCTATGCTGTCATTTAAGCTCTTCACCAATGGAGTCATTATTTGATTCACCGGGAGTTTGTTATCTGCACTAACCATGACGCACTCAAGCATATTAATAGCCAAAAGAATTTGAGGGCAAGACATGCTAAGTGGGTGGCTTATTTGCAAATGTACACCTTCACTATAAGGCACCAATCGGGAGAGTAAAACAAAGTGGTTGATACTCTTAGTTGGCAAGTTAATTTGGTGAGGACATTAGAAGTTGAAGTGGTAGGTCTAGAAGCAGTGTGAGAAGCCTATCAAGATTGCCCCTATTTCAAAGACATAATGGAGAGGTGTCGAACAAGCAATGGAAACTCTTACCACTAATTTGTTTTGTCCGATGACTATTTGTTCTATGGTGTCCACTTAGGTATACCTACTACCTCTTTGAGGGAGCATCTTATTACTAATTTGTATTCTGGTGGTCTTGGTGGATATTTTGGAAGAGATAAGACCTTTTCTTTAATGGAGGCGAGGTAGTTTGAGCTTTGTATGAGGCAAGATGTATATAGATTCATTGACTGGTGAATGAAATGCCAAGAGGCAAATGGAAATTTACAAATTAATGGTTTATATACTCCATTGCCGGTTCCGACCAAGCCATGGGTTCATTTACCCATGGATTTCACAGTGGGTTTTCTAAGGACATCAAGAGGTCATGATTCAATTATGGTGCTGGTTAGGCTTTAAAAAAGGACACACTTCATGCCGTGTAAGCGAACCATTGATGCCACGGTGGTAGCCAATCTCTTCTTCAAAGAAGTTGTGCACTTGCATAGTCTTCCTAGGGCCATCATATCTAACTGTGACACTCGGCTATTGAGCCACTTTTGGAGAACTTTGTGGAGTAAAATGGGAACTAAATTGCAACTTAGTAGTGCATATCACCCATAAACTGATGGCCTAATTGAGGTGGTTATAGGAACGTTGGTAATATTATAATAAGCTTGGTTGGAGAGAATTTGAAAGTATGGGACTTGGTATTACCACAGGCTGAGTTCGCATACAATAATTCTCTAAATCAGTCAATTGGAAAATTGCCATTTAATGTAGTACATGCCATATCACCTTTGCATTTTCATGATCTAGCATCTTTACCTATGCATGAGCATGTTGATATGGATGCTTGAAACATGGTTAACTACATAAAGGACTCAAATGAAAAGGTTCGAAAGAAGTTGGTAGAAAGTTATGCCTAGTATCAAGATATCGTAAACTGACACCGACAACTACAATATTTCAAAGTTGGAGGCCTTGTTACAGTGTATCTTAGGTAGTAGCGATTTCCCATTAGTACCTATGGAAAACTCAAAGCAAAGAAGATTGTCCCATGTAAAATCAAAAATTAAAATGAAGGACAATGCTTATGAAGTGGAGCAACCAACATGATAGAATATATCCTCGATCTAAAATGTGCAAGACCTATTCGAGTATCATGGTGACGAGTACCTAATGGAGTCGAGTCTTCTCCAACTCAGGGAGGATGACGCAAATCACATCTAGGAGTTTTTGGCCCCAAGATGAGTTTGTCATTTTCAAGTTGTTTTGGTCACCAAGATGAGATTTTTATTTTTAGAATATTATTTTGTCACTAGGTTGTATTTGTCATTGTCTTTTTATTTTTTAGCCTTGGGATAAGTTTAACATTTCTCTTTGTTAGTTGGTCTTTTTTGGGAATTGTTAAGGTTTAGGAATTTTGGTGTGGACACAAGTAATTTGTATAAAAGTTTACATGAGTCCAAAAGTAAAAATTGTGTAGTTTCAATGCATTGAAATTTGGCTTCATGTATGGGAACTTGGGTGCAAGAAGTTGCATGCAAGTATACGAGATAACGGACATGGGTAATCTAGTCAATTTCATACCTTGTTGAGGGTATTTTGATCATTTTTTTAGTTCTAGCAAACTGGTTTATATATATAGAACATTGTTGTAATAGTTGGTTATTTTTATTGATAACAATGAAATTTTCTTCCTCTTTGTTAAAGAGACAGAGTGAGCGAGAGTTTCCATCCTTGTGTACTAAGAGTACCTTGAGTTCGAAGGCCATTATTGTGTACTGTGAGACCTAGAGTTTGGCAAGAACTAGGGACCGAAAATACCTTTTGTCTTCATTATGTTGTTCAAGATCAAGGAAGTCTGATCGTTGCATAATTGGCCTCAGATCTATACTTTTCGGTGCCAGCTTCATACCACGCAACCTAGAATAATCTTTAAGATCCCAAATTTTGGGGACGCTACTTCTTGTATCAAGAAAATAGGAAAGGACAAAAATATAATTTATGGGGTTAAACCCCTTACAAAATCATTAAAGGATAAAACTATCCCTATTAACATGTGTGAGTTTAGTTTTATTTCGCTCAATTACATCCTCAAAAAGTACTTTACCAAATGCTCTAATTTGTGATTAAAAACCCTGATCAAATAACGATAGTGTACAAATTTGACTCTCCTAAGAGGCTCGAACTAAAGGTCAAAAGTATGTCTGTTTGTTCAAGGGTTCAAATGGCTAAAATACCCCTACATTTTTAGGGTTCCTAAGCTGAACAAGGGCAACTTAAGTATTTTTTAATATGTATTTTAAAAGAGGTGACTAAGTGAAATGAAAAGTCAGAAAGCCAAACCTCTTATATATATCGGGATCTTTTTAACCCCCTTGACAATTTTTATTCGGGGTTTTGTACCCCTTTAAATGATATTGTCTAAAAACGAAAGCTTGAATTAAACCCTATGAGAGCCTAAAAATTTTAATGTCAAAATATTGAACAAAGACCATCCAATTTCTCGACTTGCATGCTCAAAAATTCTTTTCTTTTGGGAAATAACCATCTGATGATTTTTAGGTGGATCCGAAAATTATAAATTAGAAATATTATCTTGAGTAGCTATTTGACCTGAGCGGCTACTAGGTAGTATAATTCCATCGGAGCAGGTTTGGGGAGTGAAAATACTCTTACACCTCGCTTTTAACGATGACAAGTGGGTTTAGAAAAAGATTGAATAAGGATTAGAGGGTTGTAAAGGGTTTATCAAGTAGTATTGTCATGGATGAGATAACTAACTTGTTTAGGAAAGGCCTACTAATAAAAACTTGTTCAATCCCATATCAAAATTTTTTTGATATAGAGTGTAAAAAAAAGGGTCTAATATTAAATTAAAGAAAAATATCTCCTTATCTCTTATTTTTTACTTCTGTATCTCTTGAGACCCAGGGAATAAAAATATTACTTGTAAGCAAAAGGTCTCTATTTTTTCTATCTTACAACCCCTGGACTTATTTGAACATAAATTTGTTACCTAAATAAAAACTAAAATGACCCTTTTGTTTTCCTTTTATTTTTTTGACAAATGTTATCACTTTTATTAATAATGGAAAAATATTACATCAAACACTCACTACATCATTCAAAATAGAAATAGCATCCATCGAAACCACCCCTTTTAGCCAAGCGATCATCAACATCGTTTGATTCCCTCAGAACATGTTGAAAAGATAATGACAATTCCCTTTCCAACTTAATCACTTGGATGCAAACTGATCGCAACAACCACTGGACTCTTTGTTCCTTGTTACACCAACTGATGACGTTTTGGGAGTCACCTTCAACCACTATACATTGGTCCAGATTCATGGGTTTAATAAACTTTAAACCCATGAGTAATGCTTGGAACTCAACCATATTTGAAGTGGTTGTTCCAATGGGTCTAGCATAAGCCGTAACAATAGCTCCACTCCAATCATGGACCACACCTCCAACACCAGCACAATTTAGGTTACCATGGGAGCTACCATCAAAATTTAGCTTCAAACTACCTCGAGAAGGAGGTATCCATTTACCAACCGGTCTCCTTCTAGCACCCCTTGAGAATACCAAATTAGCTAAATTGAGCCTCACGTCAATTTCCCTAATAGCTCTCCCCTCATCTATGATTGACAGCCAGCTCCAAGATGTATGAATAATAAGCTAAATAAGACATTCATAAGGCAGGAAACT